TATAAGTAGTATATGGTGATGGTCAGGCATAGAATGTATTTCAGTAGAAGATCGATAAGGAAAGAACAGGAATGTAGCGCAATCGGTATGAAAATGAATGAACAGTGGAATTAGAGAAGATGAACTGATATTTGCAGAAAGAACAGTCAAGATTGAGTTAATTGATTTTTATTTTGCAAATTAACTGTTAACTGTATGGTGATCACAATTTAGTAAGATAGTCTGTAATTTGGGCTTAAATACATTCGAATGTCCCCAACTAGTGTTTTGTTCACTACATTAGTAGTAGTGATCGATCAATATGATAAGGTTTATCAATCATAAATTATGAATAAGGACCTGAATCACTGCTGTGACCACTTATACACAACATGTTGTGTCTTATTTCTGTAAAAGAGATTGATTATAGCCAACAGTGAAATCCGTGACTCATGTTACCTCCTACTTAAGACTCATCAGATTAATATGTATCGATTACTTCAGTGTTGGTGTTCATTGTGGAACTCGAACGCCGTATCTTTCACTTCAAGTGGCGAATGCGTTATTCACTGAGAAATCTGTACAAAATGTACACATTCTAAGCAAAACTGATAAAAATTCAATCAACAATATCAGCAATGCTGTGATCTAAACAAATTTGAATGATGGTATAATATCTATTGGTTAGACGTTAACATTCAACGAATTCAGTTGTACACTGGTTTGTGGAAAGTAATGGCTCAGATTTGTATAATCAAATAATGAGCGGTATGAAAGATATTAGGAAGAGAAATAGACCAAAATGTTTGTAATCATATTATAATAAATATTATCTCAGTTACATCAATGGAGACAAATTCTGTGTACTAAGACATAAACTAATGTTTTTATTAAATTCATTTACGATTGTTTGTTTGAATCTTTTCATTGATGCTTTTAGGACTGAAACTGGTCAGTCTCTAATTGGCATATGTGCATACTGTGCGTATTGCCTGGATATAGCCTTAATTCACAAGCATTATAAGCATAGTATAGCATACTCATCAACAGGGCGTTACAAGGAATTCCAAGGAGATTTTCAATAATGTCATTTGACATTTTCGATAAGAAACTTTATTATCGATATTGTAAGCAAAGATGTAGTCCTAAACATCAATGGGAAGATTCAAACAAACAATACTAAGTGAATTTAAACTTCACCTCACTGCACAAGCAAGTGACTATCAGGACTCAGTATCTGAGTGGATAACGCGATGGTGTTTGGAGCCAACAGTACTGGGTTCGAGTCCCAGAGTGAACATCAACTCTGAGATGCATGTACATCCAGGTGACGAGTCCCAAATAGGACGAAACGCGCGTCCTGTATTCCACCATCCATCTTTGCTTACAATGCTTGTGAAATAATGTTATTATTATCATTATGCCATTAAGTGATTACAGATTTGAGTGAAATTTAATCCTAAAGGCATATTTTGATACAAGAACAAATCGTTTTCTTTCCGGTAAATATGAGTCTTTAATTGAAATGTACAAAATGATATCTGTTAAAGTGCTTAATGAATAGTGACATCTCTGTCATTGTTTACATCATGTTTGACACTTCGCTTATCTGATTTTGATAAATACATAAAAAATATTAGTTTAGGGTTATGGAGACTGTTGGATTTTATTGAGATCTCGAACCGATCTAAGTTAGACAAGCATCAAAAATCTAAGAATCAGAATTGTACACCACTGGATTCTGATTCGGTGGTTTAGAGGATAAATCTTTGGACACGAGACTCAATGTTCTGTGTTCGATTCCCAAATATGCGGTCTTGGATGGTGGCTGCCGAGGATTCCCATGCTTTAACGAAACGACCAAACTCTGTTTCATGATTTCAATATAATATGAAAACATATTTAAATGATCAGTGTAGCTAGAAGTAAGAGTAAATAGATGGTATCTTCAAATATTCATTAACAATATCAACCTTATTCAAGAAGTTTGATTCATATAACATAAGATTGAATAAGCTTGAGAAATACTATCGTATTACGCTGTATTTTCAAAAGATACCTACACTTTATCTAATCAAATCGAGAAGAGACTTTAGATTTCTAATATTTCCAACCACTCTCTTTATCACTTCTATTCATACTAGATTTGCTAATAGTATGGTAAGGAACTCCCTCTGATTTGAAAACATTTCACCAATGTATCCCTTTCTATATTTTAATAAACACTGTTTTTAAAATGAACAATACTGATAATTTGATTCAAACTGAACAATTCTTTCACCGGTTAGCATATGTTGGAAAGTTGATCCACCAGGGTGATTGATACCTTTGTGGTTGCACCACAGGATTGAGCTGGCTCTCCCGTTTAACGGGATTGACCTGTACTGTTTAGGTTGTCACGTAAAAGTCTGAATAGTGTCTGGTTCTGCTGAAAACCAATGACCCACAAGGGTATATCACATAATAATAATATGTTGGAAAGTACTTCACTACTAAGATTCACTTATTTACTTCCTTGAATTTATGAAGCTAAAAAACTAATTTTCCAATATATTTGTGATAAACTACCCTTCTTGAATAGATATTCATCGGTTAAGAGTCAACTCTGAGATGTAGGGAAATCCAGCTGACGAGTGCCAAATAGGACGAAACACGCGTCCTGGATTCCACTGCTAGATCCTGTCCATCTTTGCTCATAATATATAGTTACTAGTTTTTTATATATTCCTAATGAATTCAATTCTTTATTATCTTGCATGTAGATTTGATATGGACTATATCTAAGATTCACTACATTTCAGAAACACCATCATAGATTTATCTTCCCATTAAGCTTTCTTCCTTGAATTCTAAAAAAAAAATCACAATTTTAGTCAAACAAGGAACTGCTTTATTATTTACATTAAAATTTGAAAAGCAAAATACACCAAGTTGAAAATAGTAAACTTTTTTTTAAAGATTTACTTCCGTTTCTTTTTGGCAACAATATTGGATCAGTATTTTAATCCATGATATCTGATCACTTACTTTGGTTCATAATAGTTTTGTGGTGAGACTATAATTTATGGACGACCTTTGAACGAATCTTAAGTGACCCTGATAAATGTTTACCAATCAGTAGATAGTCATTATAGAGTAAAAATAGATTATAGAAAACCAAATAATTAAAGTGGATACACTTTTTTTATATGTTAGAGGAACTCATCCATATGGCTTCATAATAGTTGGTCTCTGGAGCCATGATGTGGTTATAAAAACCCTCTCAGCCTAGACCATATAGCTTCATTATTGTTTGTTTGTACTCCGGTTGTGTATTTATATCATTTTTATTATGGATATGTCCGTACAATACTCATACCACTGAACGGCTGAAACTTCAGTAACACCTGCGATTATTGCAGCCAATATTACTGGTGGTTTTATTATACAGTTCGCGGCAATTATTATAATATGCCTTAGTCTCAATGTGGTTCGAGCGAAAGAGATTTCTATTCTTGTAAACGTCTTCCTTCAACATATATTACATCGAAGGACAACATCATGGTAGTCTGTACAAGGTCTACAAGTCACTTAATACCCACAATTATAAATACAGGAACTTCTTAGTAGTTTCATTCGTTGTAGCCGATTAATTGTCAAGTCTTCTCTATAATTCTCTGTGAACCGATCGTACATGAGCATCAGGTACTGAAATCGGAGTCGTGACCCTGAAATCCCTCAAACGCTCCTGATTGGCTAGTCCGTAAATTATAGTCTCGCCTAGTTTTGTTTTCCTTTACCATACAATATATGTAATTTAGATAGTACCAAATCACCCTAACACACTGTCTTCTAGTTAGAAACACGAAGTTTAGCGAAGGGATTATCAAGCTGTACAATCGTATATATATGAAAATGTAATCGTATTAAGTAATCTTTCTATTGCATCATCTTCGTTATTCATGTTTACATTTAGTCATGGAATTAATACTTTAACAAAACATTTTCATATATATACACGATTGTACAGCTTGATAATAAGGAGATTCCTTCATTGAACTTGTTGTTTTTAATTTGAATGTCTTCTAGTTAATGTTACATACGGAACAGTTTCAGCTTAATCATTTTTACATTATTTGTCATAAGGAGTTTTTTACAGTATATTACGTAATATTTTTAGTTGACTGCTCTTAGTGACATCTGAATAAAGTACTTTTAAGAAGATAGGGATTATCTGTTCAGTAACACCATCAACAGATGAATAACATCATAATGCTAGACTTATTACAGACCTCAATGTTTAAATAGACATAAAATCTATTATCAGAAAGGGTTCTTGTGGAGATTTAATACTTTCATAATTAAAAGCGTGAGTCAATTGAAGCTAATTATATGCTCACTAGTGACTAACTTCAAGAGATATCTCCTTGAGTTCTAGTGGGAAGCAGTGACCAGTGGAGTTCTACCAAGTCTCTTGTAGAGATATCAACTCACTGAAGAGATTGGTGAATGGTTGCTCAAAATCGTGGATTGGTTGAAATTAGACATTAACACCGTGGATGCCAGCCCAGTGGTCTATCGGTTAAGGGCTTTGGCTCGAGACTGGTAGGTCCTGGGTTCGAAACTCGCGAGTGCGGGATCGTGGGTGCGCACTTCTGAGGAGTCCCACAGTAGGACGGAATAGCCGTCCAGTGGTTCCATGTTGGTCTAGCTTCAATTGACTCATGATTTCAACTATAAAATGTATGATATATTGTGTAATTTTTGATTTGTAATTAAGTTAACACTATATCTGATTTGATAGTTGTTAAGCTAATTAACATCAGTTAAATTATGTGTACAACTTTTTCCTGTTGTAGCTTTTCATGTTGTGAATGCACAAATCAATGCATGGTGTGTAGTGAACTCGAAAAAAAAATCGAAATGTATATTTTTACAATTTTGCATTTTTAAGGTTTATATTTTAGTGTTTATATTGGTGTACCCTCCCTTTCAGTTATCATGATTTAAATATTACCTAATTAATCTTTTTTTCCTTAAAGGTTACCTATAGATGCTAATCATGCAGGTTTCTATAATAATCCTGCTACTGCTGCAGTTGTTACCAATTCTTTAATGAATCCTTTAATGAATGCAGGTTTATTGACAGGTTTTAATATGCCAAATGCTGCTACATTGTCACCAGGTATAAATGGTATGCTACAAACACCAACTAATCACATATCATCTGTAGCTACTGATCCAACATCTGATAATCGATTACAAGCACAGCTCCCATTGAATCAACTTGCTAATTTGAATTATTTACTCAATTATTCAAATGTCATTGGAAATCCTTCATCTAGTGCTGCAGCTGCAGCTGCCGCAGCAGCAGCAGCAGCAGCTCTCGCAGCTACAGCGAATACAAATCAGCCAAGTATTTCACCAGCTGCATTAGCACTTTTAATGTCTACCTACGGGCAAGGTACAAGTGGGTTGAATACTGTATTACCGGGAACTAATTCATTTGTTGGAATGTCACCTGTCACACATCAATCGTTGAATGCAACCAGTCTACCAGCAACAAGCTTATTAAATTTAAACTCTACCACGTCAAATACAACCGGTTTAAATGTACTGACAGGTAGTCAGTCTGTGTCACCATTCTGTAGAACATTCACTCCAGAGGTTTCACCGAATGAATTGAATGCATATTCTGCTGCTATGGCTTATCAACGACTGCTTAATATGGCATCAAATTATCAAACTATTCCATCATCTTTATTTACACCTGTTAATTCGACTAACTCACTGTCAAGCGCCTTACTTAGTAATCAGTTTGCTTTAAGTTCAAATCAGACTATGAATTTCAATAATAACATTAGCGGCAGTAATAATAACCATGCATCTAGTAACCATATCAGTGTATCAGCGGATCAATCCAACTCAATGCCTTTGATATTTCCGCCCACATCACGTAATTTAGTTGCGTTCACATCGGACATAAGTGTTCCATCATATGATTACGGTAATCCACAAGAGCTAACTGCCAATATCCACGCTAGTCTGACAACTGGTCAACATTCAGCGACAAATGCTACACCACCACCACTTCGTGAAGGTTTAGAATGTGTGAATGCATCTGTGAATTTTTGACTGATAAATAATAAATAAACTGGAAAGTAATCCGGGATATTCAGAAAACAATAATTTTTTTTCTTAGTCTTCTCTTGTTCAGGGTGATCAATGTAAATTGTCCCTTACTATCTCTTTACTTATCTGTACTTTAATTGACAGCGGTTGGTTGTAAGATAACACTCAACCATCACAACGTTTGATTTGTGTTCTTCACTAACCTTTACCCTCATCCTGTTTGTCTTGTAGCCAACTTGTTACGCTGACAACGGAAAAAAACTGTGATTCCTTTCATTATCTTTCTTATTGAAATATGACACTATGTGGTAAAAATCAAAGTCAGTGTCTATGTGACACATTCTATTGTTTCATTTGTTTAAATACTTTCATTGTAATCTAGTGGTTTTCTCACTGTCCTTTTTTCCTTCTTTTCTGGTGATGTCATTTCCGGCTGGTTGCATTGAGATATATATACATATATATCTTTATGAATTCAGTATTACTGGTAGATTTAATTTCTTTTTCCTCTGCTGTAATAATTGCTCAAGATAGAAAAAAGTTTCTGAAAAAATTCGGTTATCTGTATAATTTTTCCTTTCTTTTTTTGAAAGTAAAACTGTCAACTTGAATCAAAACAGAAAAAAACTTACTTGAGTAACTTTTCGTGTTATCGTTGCTCAGTCTTGAGTGCTGTTACAGGTATGAGGGTGGTTATCACTTCCCGGTTGCCAACACCTTGGAAGGGTTCTTCGAGAGATACCTGAAAAGGAAATTGGGTTAGAAGTGGTCTTAATGACCTGAGAGCGTGACCGCAGTGCCCAAGGGACAACTACTTGAGGTCGGTCACATACGACCTTTTTGTGGGTAGTTTTTGTGTTAGCTCCGTTCTTCAAAGGACCTTACCGCCGGAGACGGAAATCCGTGGGATAAGGCGAGGTGTGCATTTTTAGGGTCGACTTTTTCTAACCCCACCCCTTCTTATGGGAATGCAGCATTTTTGTTAGGCTGGTTGTCTGAAGGAAACACCTTACTGCTGTCACACCTCTGTACAGTTAGCAGTACGAATTTGTCTTCAGACCTTGGGCTTGCTGCTTTTAGTCTCACCGCTCTTCAACCGACCTGTCTGGCATGGTAGGACCTTGAGGAAAGATTGTTTCAGACAGTATAGCTCGATTAGTTTGTCACGATAGGCAAGCCCGACCACCACGTCAAGTTAGCAGCAACGTTCTGGCTTATCATTGCTAATTGTTAAGTATTCATTTCGATTTATTATTAGTAGACGAATAATATATTGTTGAAGGATAATGGACTGTGGTAAAATGCAAAAGTGAAATTTACCACAAAAGAACATTGACTAAAAAGAACGAACTGAGGATCTTTGGTCTTTACAGATACTGTGATGTCATTCCAGTGTTAACAGCGTAATGAAATAACCAGATAAATTGTAGAATTTTAAGAACTGTTTAATACTGGTTATATCACCTGAGAGCTTGGAATCCTGATGATAAACCAAATTTTAATAAATTAGCATTTTACAAGTTTTAGGATCTAAATAAGCCAAAAAACAGTGCTCCCACAATAAGTTTATTTGAGAATGTTATTCACATATGGTTCCAAATAACCATCAAGTTGTAAAATACCCCCAAAAGTGAAACAAAATTAAGCAAGTGTTCAGCCAATCATGTTAGGTAATATCACCACGTAGAGTTTGGGGAATTACTCAAATTTGTTAAATGGGCTGACTAACTGCTTATTTATAGGGTGACTCGAACTGGATTGACCTGACTTGTGGGTACCTGTCGATTGTGTAAAAACTTAAGCTGGGTGATTGAGAGCTTTAAAACATGATTATTGTAAGGAATTTATGTTGGCTTAATTTTATAACAGTTTTCTTTTAAAATACGGTATACTTAAGCAGTACAGTTTTCACTATAACGTCAAAGGTTTTTCTACCACAAAATGGCTGACTATGAGGCAGGAAAATAGTGAACGAATTTAACCCTAATTACCTGAGAACCACCAAGAATATCTACGACAAAATGAGATCGGATTTCTGCCTGCAAGGAATCGAATATCTGTTTTCAGAAGCCAATCAAGTTACGTCAACAAGACTCTGTTATCAATGGTTTGATATCACAAAATTAAATGATGATTATAAATCTTGATTAAAGCCAAATAATAAAAGTTTATTCAAAGAACATTCATAAATAAAAATTGGTTATACGACTATTGGATAAAAGTTGCAATACAAGAGAAGATGAACGGAATCTCACTAGTGTTAGATCCAAAACTGAAATTTCTGTACTGTCTCTCAGTCACGCTCTTCTAAGTCCAAATAAAGAAGAAGACAATAAAGACCAATGAAGTGACAGACATACAAGAAACTATAAAAGAGGCTTCAGTGGAAAAAATATTAGTACACTTACTAACATTGGAGAATCTGCATGGTGCTCACTGTCCAGTTAGGTTCATCTATAGGAAGGTCATTAATGGCGTCGAGTACGGAAATCGCAATTATGATAGATTATCCAGCTCTACACATCTAGGATAATTTCATATTCTGGTCCTGGGAGACTTGAATCTTTTTAAAGTCAACTTCGCTGAACACACGTAAATTGGAAGTGACAACTCTACATAAGCTCGGTTCTTCAACCTTATTGAACATCTGTGGTTATCTGAAAATGTGAAGTCAGCAACTCGGTGGAAAAACAGTCAGACAACGTCACGCTTTGACTTTATATTTAGGAACGAATAATTCCTATCAGATCAGGAGGGGGTTTTGTGGAGATTTTATTAATTTTACGGTTGAAATAATTAGTTAGTTGAAGTTAGACCACCATGGAAAACCTGGAAGCACTGGACGGTCGTTTCGTCCTATTGTGGGACTCCTCAACAGTGGGTTCAAATTGCCAACAAACAATGACGATGATGCCGCCATCCTTCTGTCAGAACAATACTTTCATACATTTCGAGCGTCTCATAATAACTATATTGAGGAGAGCTCCACCGGTTATTCTCAGAAGCGAAATTCAGCGCTGACATGGCACGTCAGAAACTGTGGCTCCTAAACAAGAGCACGTCTCCTGGACAGAATATGGTTCATTCTATTATACTGAAGGGAGAAGCTTGACCTCACATTCTCTAGGCTAAGGCACGGTACCGGAAAATTGGAAGCTTGCACACGTTGCATCATTTTTTAAAGAAGTCTAACTCAGAGGACGTTCTATCTACCGGTCGTTAGCATTTCTCTCAGTACCCTCAAAAATTATGAAGTCCCTGATATAAGACTATCTACTTGACCACCTACCATAAAGTTACTTAAACTCCAAAAGCACGGTTTCAGGAGGGGCCACCACTGAATAACTAGGCTGCTGGTTGTGATGGACAACCATCCTTGGTTGCATGAGGAAGGTTGACGCGTTAGTGAATAATGTAGTTAAGTAAGCCAAGACGAGAATGGATTCCGAATATGTATATTTCATGCACTCATTGATTTGGACAGGCAGTCAGAGAAACGAAGCGATTAATAGAGAGCAAAGCGGATCAGAGAAAGTAATTGAGCCGACTTAATTTAACTGAGCATTACTAAATGTCCATAGTCAGAGCAGAAATAAATTACAGACATAATGAATGGGATAAGCAATCAACAAACATAGTCATGTAAAAACGAACAGGGTTATTGAGCTGTTAGCCAAAAAGGTCCAAATGTGTTTTGAGAAGAATAAATAAATTGGTCTGTCCAGAAATTAGAGCACCCTTTATCTGCAGATGAGTATCTGTGAGCGATAATCCAAGGGTCATGTTGTGTGGGCCCACAAACAGGAATGGGAGGTCAGTGAATATGCTTTACAAACGAAAATCTTACATGCAATAAGGCAATTGTACAAATCATAGGACTTGATGAAAAATGCAAATGGTAAGAAAACTAATTAAAAAGAGTCTACTTTAACTACTTCCATCAGGAGGTATCGTCTGATTTGTTGGGTTTAGCTGATGATGTGAAACTCTGCAGGAAGATACCCAACCAAGAGGATAAGCCGTCGCATCAGGAGGGTCTCGGGAGACTTCAAATTTGGGCAGATGACAATTGACTTACCTTTAACATTTCAAAATGTAAAGTAGTCAATCTGAGTCATGTTGCAGACCATGCACTAAATTTAGGTAACACACTTTTGCAGGTTTCACAAGTTAAAAAAGATCTAGGAGTGTTGGTGCCCTATCATCTGAATCCCTATATTAACTGCAATAAAAACGCCTCTCGAGCAAATCTTGCACTTGTAATATTGAAGAGCATTTTCAGCCGGTTTGGCTGCACAAATTTTCACCTAATCTTCTACTTTTATTCGGCCTCACTTAGAGTATAAAGACATAGTGTTTCCTCCTTTATTTCAAAGTGATAAGAATGAATTCAGACGTATCCAACAGTGAGCCGAAAAATCAGTTCGCGGACTCAAATTAAAGCCTTACTGACCAACGTACGCCTGTTAACCCTCGTAGAGGATCAAAGGACACCCACAAGCATTCTCCATCCAACCCTGGCATGGATACGCTCTTTCGATTCTTTACACTTGTTGTCTATCCATTTCACGTCTGCTCTCAATTCTCGATGTAGCGTGATCTTCCTCTTTTCAGTTGCCATTCTTCATTCCAGGCTAAGGCTTGCTTTATGATGCAGTTTGGTGATTTCCCCAATGTATGCTCTATCTACTTCCAACGTCTTTTCCTAATTTCCTGTCCAGCTGGAAGCTAGTTTGTCCTCTCCCATAAAACACTGTAACTGATAGTGTCTGACAAGTGAATGTTGAGTATTTTGCGAAGACAACTGTTTCTAAATACTTGTACCTTCTTGATGATGAATGTAGTAGTTCTCCACGTTTCAGCTCCGTACAGTAGGTCTGTCCTGACGGTCGATTTGAAGATTCTCACTTTAAAGTAAGTTGACAATTGTTTTGAATTCCATATGTTCTTCAGTTGTGGGAATGCTGCCCTTGCTTTGCCAATCCTCCTCTTTATATTTTCAC